ATATTCTATTGTAAAATCATACCCCATCAATTTGCACACATACTTTTGCTGCTCTAGTGTTTGGATTGTTTGGGATAATAGCTCCTTTAGACTTCTATGATCAGTTTTAATTACAAACTTGGATCCCAACAAGTAGTGCCTCCATTTTTTTACAGCTTCAGTCACTGCATATAATTCCCTTACATAGGTGGAAGCTAACCTCATCCTTACTCCAAGCTTTTTGCTAAAGTAAGCAATTGGCTTCTTCTGTTGAAGTAACACAGCTCCAATTCCAGTTGATGATGCATCTGTTCCAATGATAAATGGTAAGGAAAAATCAGGTAGTGCCAAAACTGGGGTTGAGGACATAGCTTCCTTCAAAATTCTGAAAGCTTTAGAAGCTCCTTCATCCCATACAAAGGAGTCAGCTCTTAAAAGATCAGTCAAAGGAGCTGTTAAGGCTGCATACTGCCTTATAAACCTCCTATAATAACCTGTGAGGCCAATGAATCCTCTTAATTGTTTGACATTCTTTGGTTGGGGCCAAAGTAGCATGGCTGAAATCTTTTTAGGATCTACCTTCACCCCTCCTTTAGAGACTATGTGGCCTAAATAATCAATCTCAGATAATGCAAAACCACACTTGCTCAATTTAACCACAAACTGATTTTGCTTTAAACATTCTAGTGTCAGCTGTAGATGCCCCAAATGGTCCACAAGAGAAGCATTATAAATCAGAATGTCATCAAAGAAGACTATGATGAACTTCCTCAAATAAGGTTTGAACATTTGATTCATAGCAGATTGAAAGGTTGAGGGTGCATTGTTTAGCCCAAATGGTAGCACCAAGAACTCATAATGCCCTTCATGGGTTCTGAATGCAGTTTTAGGGGTATCATGAGGAACTAATATGATTTGGTGATAACCACTCCTCAAATCCAATTTAGAAAAAATTTCAGCCCCCTTCAATCCATCTAAGCGCTCATCAATGGTGGGAATTGGGAAACGATCCTTGATAGTTATATTGTTCAGTGCCCTATAATCAATGCATATCCTCCAAGAGTGGTCTTGTTTTCTCACCAATAACACAGGAGAAGAAAATGGGTTGTGGCTTGCCTTTATGAACCCCGAAGCTAAAAGTTCAGCTACTTGCTTCTTAATCTCATTCTTCTGGTGATGAGCATACCTATAAGGTTTCACACTAACTGGTTTAGCTCCTTCAACCAGATGAAAAGCATGGTCAAAAGCTCTTGAAGGAGGAAGGCCATGTGGCAGTTGGAAAACATATTGGTATTGCACCAAAATGTTCCATACATCATAAGGAATTTGATCCTTAATTAGTAGCAGCTCGGGTAACTGATTCTCTGGAGAATTAGCAGGTACAATTGTTGTTGCTAGTGCAGAACATGCCCCCTTTGACATCTTTAGCTCCTCTTTCTTTTTTTCACCCGATAAAATAACTCTCTTTTGATTCCAAACAAACTCCATGGACATCTCACTATAGTCATGTATCACCCTGCCCAAGGAACTAAGCCACAAAATTCCCAGTATAATTCCAAGATTGGTTAGTTCAATCACCCATAAATCCACTACAAAGACCTGACCTTTTATATTCAAGGAAACTGATGGGCACTTCCTCTCACAATTTAAGAATTCTCCATTGCCCAAAAAGACCCTCATTCTAGGAACCTTGATCATAGGCAAGCCCAATTCTTCAGCAATATTTTCCTGAACAAAATTATGAGTGCTACTTGAATCAATAAGGATGGATACTGACCTTTTTCTAACATAAATTTGGAACTACAAGGCTCGTGGATTCAATTCACTTCCCATTGAGTGCAGAGCTGCATCCTGAGATTCTTGTTGACCTTGTTATGGCTGCCAAACAATCTGTTCCTCCATATCTGTATCCTCATCATCATAATCTCCCACCAACATCATCATCTTAACTTTGCAACGATGTATGTAAGTCCATTTCTCATCACAAGTGTAGCAAAGACCCATATCTCTTCGTTTCTGCAAATATTCTTGTGACACCCTCCTGACAGGCACATTAGAAGGTAAGGCTGGTAAATTGGGCGGCACTGGTTTCACCTGATTATTGGTAGAATTGTACTGCTCCACGATTGAAATTGGTTTTGGAGTATACTTCTTATTATAAAAAGTAAAGGAACCTCTTAACTCAGCAAGATGAGCCTCATAAGTCATGGCTAATTGCATAGCCTGATGAAGAGAGGTTGGTTTATGAAGTTGAATGGCCCTTTTTAAGTCTGGTTGTAAACCAGAAACAAAAAAGACATTAATAACCTCATCTGAGAAATATGACACTTGATTGATCAAAGCTTCAAAGTCTCGAATGTATTCATTAAGGGCTCCCACTTGAGATAGTTTGGACAAAACCCCACGCAAGTCAGTATAAGCTGTACCTCCAAAGCGTTGCTTCACTGTATTCTACAATTCCTCCCACGATTGGATGGTACCTCCACTGAATAGCCATTAAAACCACGGTCCAGCCATTCCCTCCATTTTCATTCCAGCTAATCGAACCTTAAGGGACTCTGGTATTTGTTGTAACCCAAAATACAGCTCTGTTCTGAAAATCCAGCCAACAGGATCTGTACCCATAAACGAAGGCAACTCCATTTTGATCGACTTCATGATGTTACGTGGGTCACTCGGATCATACCTTGAATGCACCATTCCAACGTTGTCATTACTCGAAGATCCTGGATTAACTCGCGGTTATGCATGCTCCCCCGTTCGATTTTCTCCTCCAACGATCACTGCATGTATTTGTTGAAGCTAGGTATTGATGGTCAGGAATTGGTTTTGATGATCCGTGAACCTTTGTTGGATCTTCTCTAAGGTTCGATCTACCCGCTGTTGGAAGGACCCCAACTCCTCCGCCACCTCTTGAAGCCGCATGTTGCAAACTGAGTTTCAAAAGAGTGAAAGCACTAATGTTAAGGGTGCAAAACCTTTAAGGAAGAAAAGACACAAGGAATAGAACAGTTCTCAATATTATTCAATGAATGACACGTTTGTACAGGTGTTGTTATTTTATACAACCACTTGCTACTAACAGAATTTGCCACCTCTTCCTAACTACCTAACCACCTCACCACTTGCACAACTAACTTCCTACTTTAGATACCAATATCAGTAACCAATGTTCTAATCCTATGAGTGACTTATTACATGGTGGTAAAATCCTTGACCCACGAAGGAGCACTCTTCAATCTTCTTCCCATCTTCGTATCACAATGGCTTCTCCCACTAATAATCCTTTCTATCATCTGATTAAGGAGATTACAATTTTGATTAGGAGAACCTGGAGAGTTGAAGTGTCTCATGTCCACAGAGAGGGCAATAAAATGACAGATTGGATGGCTTCTCATGTCAAGCTCATTGGCCTGGGAGACTGGTTGGTTTGAGACTCCCCCTGCTGAATGCAAAGAGGTGCTACTAAAGGACCTGCAGGGCTTCTATGAGCCCAGAATCATTTATGGTTAATTATTTTTCTGCTGTTTCCTTTTCATCTGTAATCCAAAAAAAATCAACAAGAGCAATGACATGTGACCATGGTTATCAAAATCGCGAGTTAACTCGTAAAATCGTACGATTTTACGAGTTTACTTTGTTTGGCGAGTTAAATCGGTAGTAAAATCGAAATTCTGAGTAAACTCGTTAAAATCGCGATTCTACTGTGCAAAATCGCAAACTCGTACGATTTGGGACGAGTTAGCGATTCATGGGCAGTGATGGCAAAAAAAAAAATTGGACAAAAAATCGATTTGGCCCAACCCAGTTTACTCAATAGCTATTTTCTATCAAAAATAAACCCTAATCCCCAAATTCCCATCGCGCGTTTGCAAGAGAAAGGGCAAACAATCATCTTCCTTCCCCACCATCGCACGACACTGCCACCTGCAACGGCTGAAGACCGACGACCCGACCGGCGACTTGAGCACCGTGGTGGTGCCGTGGAGCGGTGGAGGTGCTGTTTTTTTTATGTGGCGTGGTTCTGTTTTTTTATCTTGTTATTTCTCTTTTGCTATTAGTAATGGTGGTAGTGGCATGGTTCTGTTTTTTATCATTTTGACATGGTGCTGTTTTTTCTCTTTTGCTATTGTAATTGCTTGGACTTTCTTTTGATGTTAATGTTATTGATTCATGGTGGTGTTGGACTGTTGGTGCTGTTTTTTTTTTGTTTTGCTTGAATGATATTTTTTTCATCAAATTATCAGTTAATGGCTTCAAGTGGTGCTGCCGGTGTTAGTAGTTCAGCTAGTGTTGTGTCTGCTCCTATTACTAGGAAACAAAAGGCTAAAAATGCTCCTGGAAATCGGAGTGATATAGGGTGGAAATATGGCATGCCATTAAATGAATTGGGAACAAAAATCCAATGCAAATATTGTCCAAAGAAAGTAAGTGGAGGAGTTTATCGATTTAAGCATCATTTAGCCGGTACCAAAAAGGATGTTGAAGCTTGTCCATCGGTGCCCGATGAAGTAAAGAAAGAGATGTTTGAAAATGTAGCATCACTCCAAGAGAGATTTTTGAAGAAATCAATGATAGTTGAAAGTGATGATGAGGAGGAGGGTCAATGTGAAAAAAGAACAAAAACAAAGGAAGTGGAAGTGGGTTCTACAAATTTTTTCAAGAAAAGGGGAAAGGGAAGTGTTCAATCCACTATCAACAATATGTTCAAGAAAAATTTGAAACTTGATGTTGATGATGATGTTGCTGATTTTTTTTATGCCAATGCTATACCATTCAATGTGATAAAAAGTGATGAGTTCCGTAAGATGTGTGACTCAATTGAAAGATATGGTGTGGGTTATGATCCACCATCTTATCATGACATTAGAGTGAAGCTTTTGAATAAAAAATATGCATTGACCAAGGAGCTGATAGAAGAGCATAAACGTCATTGAGAAAAGGTGGGATGCAATATAATGACGGATGGGTGGACAGATCAAAGAAGAAGAACTATCATAAATTTTTTAGTGAACAACACGATGGGAACTGTTTTTATTAAGTCTATTGATGCTTCTCACATGTCCCAAACTGCTGAAAATCTTTTTCAAATGATTGATGATGTTATTGAAGATGTTGGAGAAGATAATGTTGTGCAAATTGTGACTGACAATGCAGCCAATTACAAACGCGCTGGAGAGCTATTAATGCAGAAAAGAAAGAGGCTGTTTTGGACTCATTGTGCAGCACATACCATTGACTTGATGTTAGAAGATTTTGAGAAGCATATAGCGGTTCACCGTGAAACAATTCCAAAGGGCAAAAAGATTACAACATACATATATGGAAGGACTTTTCTCATTTCTCTCTTAAAAAAGGCCACCAAAGGAAAAGATTTGATAAGACCGAGCGCCACTCGTTTTGCTACATCGTATTTAACTTTGGGGTGCCTCTATGAGAATAGTAGTGCTGTAAAGAGGGTTTTCCTCTCAGATGAATGGAAGGCTAGCAAATACTCAAAGTCAAATGAGGGAAAACTTATTGCAAGTTTGGTTGATGATAGTCTCTTTTGGAAAAATGTTTTATTTTGTATAAAGGGTGCTTATCCGTTGTTCAAAGTGTTGAGGTTGGTTGATTCTGAGGAGCCAGCTATGGGATTTCTTTATGGAGAAATAGGGAAAGCTAAAGAGGAAATTAAAAACGTCTTCAAAGGTGTTGAGAATAGGTAAATTATGAAGTTTACTTTGAATTGAATTTATTTCTTTTAGATTATATTTCTAAACATACAACATATTTTTTATTTTTCAGTTATATGCCTTTATGGAATATTATTGACGCAAGGTAGGACAAGCATTTAGTGGACCATTGCATTGTGCTGGATACTACCTAAACCCACAAATTCATTATGGTCCTAATTTTAAATCAACACTTCAATTGAAAAGAGGATTATATGATGCTTTGGATAAGGTTTTGGGGATTGAGAATGGACTTGAATTGATGGATTCTCAACTAGAAGATTTTAAGTGTAGGAAAAACTTTATGGGTTGCAAGGCAGCCAAGATTTCAGTGTACAATAAAAGTCCAGCACAATGTGGGATTCTTATGGAGATGAAAATCCGGAGCTTCAAAGAGCGGCTATTCGTATATTAGGCTTAACATGTAGCTCTTCTGCATGCGAGCGTAATTGGAGTGCCTTTGAAAGGGTAAGATCTTACAAATACTGAATTTTTAAATTCTGAAATGCATGTTAATTTAAAAATTAGAATTTTATAATAATTGCTTTTTATTTGTTTAGGTTCACATAAAGAGAAGAAACCGACTGACCACGAAAAAATTGAATGATGTTGTTTTTGTGATGGTTAATAGAAAATTGGCAAGAAGAAAAATAATAGAAAACCTCTTATCCATGATCTTGAGGATCTTCCATCGGATGAAGATTGGGTTGTTGAAGATGAAAATGAAACTAACATGGAAGGAGACTTGGGTTTGGATGAAGAACAAGAGGAAAACTTGGATTTAGAAACTCAAATTGAAGAAAACATGGTGGGAATCCAAAGTGGAGAAAACATGGTTGTAAACTTGGAAGTAGAAGAAATGGTTGAAGAACAAGTACAAGTTGCCGTGGGAGATGACGACGACGATGCTAACTTTGAGAATTTGATGAACTTTGTACTCTAAGCACTTAGTCTCTAAATTTTTTGTTATGAGTTTGTGTCTTTTTATTTATAATGTTAGTTGGATATTATTATATTTATTATATATTTTTAAAAGTAAAAACTTACGATTCGTGGCGATTTTACGATTTACGATTTTACTATCCCCTCACGATTTTACGTAAAATTGCGAGTTTGACAACCTTGCATATGACATAAAAAGTAAGAGTCGTGCTATTTTGTTGGGACAGAAAACAAAACGCACTTGCGAACACAAAATAGTAAAGAGAGAAGAAAAAAAAATAGAGATACAAAATTTCCAGCAATATTAACTATATCCTCCTCGTCACACTCATTACAACAATTATAATGAGAATATAAATAGACTTAGAAACTCTAAACAATAACAGTTATTTATGAACACATGTTTAAACTTTAAAAAAAAGAAATAAAATAAATGTGGGCCTACAACATCATCAAGTCTCTGCGATTTTCCTGCCCGCTCATCATAGAAGTGGACCCCTATTGGCTTTTATTGCATCCTGCCAACATGAATTGTTATCTGAATGTAAAGTATGAATTATATCCAGCATATTTGGTATGATCATTTTCTGAGTGGATCTATCATGGTATATATTGGTATGCAAGCGACAAATCAAGAATGGTAAAAGGTGAATTTCTTTTTTCTTTTTTCAAGGTGAAACATGGAGAAATTTTTATTTTGGGGAATCATACTCTTATGCAATAGGAGAGCAAAAAATTTTCCTACACTAATTCGTTTTCCGTGCCAATTAATTATTTTTTTCTTTTCTAATATAAAATGTGGGACCCACATGTAATTTGTCTCTACTTTTGTTATTTCATGTTTTCATGTAACATAAGAAAACATAGACCCTTTTATTTTTTTGTCTTGCCATAGAGGGTGAATATAAAAATGCCAAAATAAGTTAGCTAATCTCATCAGGCCATAGTCTATGTGGGCCAGGACTAAAAGTCCATAGGACCAAAAGTCCTAAATAACCAAAGCCCCATAAAGTTTCATAGGTTAAGGCTAATCTGTGGGTCTTAACAACTTGTGTTGTGGTATTCAAATTTAATTCACGTTATGAGGATTAAAATAAGGTGCAATTAATTAAATTTTAATATGAAAAATTGTGTTGAGCTTGAAATGTGACGTTTCTGTTATAAAGATATATTGTACACACCACAATGGCTTGTTCATAATTTAAAATCCATGTATTAAATGTTTCCTTTAATGGATTGAAAATTTTGCTAAATTAACTTTTTTTTTTTTTTGATAACAGCTAAATTAACTTTTTAATATTTGAAAAATGTCATATGTACTTATTTTTTAGTATTCACTTATTTTTCAAAAAAAGATAGAGTTTGATTAAAAAATTATATTTATAAGTATAAAATTTATTATATAAGCAAGAAATTTGCATTATTCTATTACTTGTTTTTTACACTCGCGGATTTGTAAAGTTGAATATGTGCAATATTCTAGACATAAATATTGTGATTCATAGATTAACTCCCAATATATATACATTTCTGTTTATAGGTGAGTTCTAATTAATGTGGTCCGTTATTTTCTTAATCCAATAATGATATAATTAAACTAATTATTCATGGTTATTTCAAGCGTAATCATATTTTTATATTATTATTTTTGTACAAAGAGTAATTATAGTTTTAGTCTCTAAAATATATCTCTCATAATTTTTTTGTATACTATACTCGAAAAATCATCTTATTTTGTTTATGTGATACTATTAATTTAATTTCCATGCAATTAATCAAGTGTATGTTTGATATAATTTATTTTATAAAAATAATTTTATTAATTATATATTCATTAAAATTAAATATTTTGTTTATGTTTATATTCATATATGTTACAGATCAATAATGAAGCTATGCAAAGTTCCACACGTGTCATTACTTCACCCGTTTACTGATTAAGTCAGTTAGTTAGTTTACATAAAAGTCTGTTAGTTAGTTACACGCTAGTGATATACATCTGTTGGTTAGTTACAAGCTACTGATATAAGTAGTTGTCATGTTGCCTTTAATTGTACTTTTGATATATTCATTCTTCCAATTTAATGAGATTGATTCTCTTCTTCATTCCTTCTCTTCCCTGCGATATGGATCTTTTCAGATCAAGATTACCATTGTAAGATGGTATCAGAGCAAGAGGCTCTGGTAACCAACCAAGTTTCCGCTACTGCAAACTCTGTATACCTTTCTTCTCTTTCTTCTTTTCTTGCTTAAGCCATTTTTTTTTCAATGGCTAATCTCCCAGATTTCCACACAAATCCCAGTAACCCTTTCTTTTTACATCCAAATGAAAGCCCTGCTTTAATCCTTGTTACACCACCTCTTGATCCCACAAATTATCACTCTTGGGCCAGATCAATGAGTATGGCTCTCCTATCCAAAAGTAAACTTGGATTTATCGATGGAACAATTGTGAAACCAGCAAATATTGATCCTACTTTCCAAGCATGGGAAAGATGTAATACCATAGTACTTTCTTGGATTCATCGATCAATCAACAATTCTATAGCCAAGTCAATTCTTTGGATCAATCAAGCATGTGAAGCCTGGGCTGATCTCAAGGCTCGGTTCTCACATTCAGATATTTTTAGAATTTCTGATATCCAAGAACAAGTCTATCATATGCATCAAGGTCAGTTTTCTGTTACTGATTATTTTACCAATATGAAGATCATGTGGGATGAGTTGGACAACTTGAAGCCTTTGCCAACATGTAGTTGTGCTTTGAGGTGTTCCTGCAATGGATACCCTTTGATGCGTGAGTATAGAGACTGTGATCGCACAGTGAGATTCTTGAAAGGACTTAATGATCAATATGGTCATGTAAGATCCCAAGTAATGATGAAGAAGCCATTGCCAGATATCAATACTGTTTTTTCTTTAGTGGCTCAACAAGAAAGACAAATTCAATGTGAGTCAAATCCGAATCAACTTGGAAATGATCCAAGAATATTTCACAGTTCCACAAATAATCCAAGATTCCACAGTTCCACTGATAATCCAAGATTCCACAGCTCCACTGATAACCCAAGATTTCATAATTTTACTGATAATACTCACAGAGGAGTTTATGGCAGAGGAAGAGGACATGCAAACACCAACATATTTGGAAGAGGGCGTGGGAACAACACCAAATTATGCACTCACTGTGGGAGAACTAACCACACTGTTGATACTTGTTACAAAAAGCATGGATTCCCACCGAACTTCCAATCAAGGAATGCTGCAAATTTTTCTTCACAAGATGACAGTAATGAAGCTATGCAAAATCAAGAAGTTCAAGAAGCAAATGTGACCATATCTCAAGAGGAGTATGACAGTCTCTTGAATGCTTTCAATCATCAGAATTCCATAATGCCAGAAACACCAATTTCCTCAACCAATATGATTCAGACCACGGCTCTAAATGCAGACTCAACAGGTAACTCATCAGGCAGATGGCTTCTTGACACTGGAGCCACTGACCATATCAGTTTCATATTTTCTAATTTTTCTGAATTTAGAAAGATCAAGCCTATATTCATCTCTCTTCCTGATGGATCTTAATCCTTAGCCCAATTTTCAGGAACAGTACACATCTCTCATTCCCTTATTCTCTACAATGTTCTATATGTTCCTACTTTCAAAGTTAATCTCATTTCGGTCACAAAACTACTTCATGATCTCTCCTGTTATCTAACCTTCCATACTTCTTGTTGCATTATTAAACAGATACCATCGAATATGATGATTGGTTCAGCTGATGTAATTGATGGATTATATGTGTTAAAGACTCAATCATACAGACATCAGAGTACAAGCCAGAAAATTCCTCCCAATAGTTCCACTGCACCTGTTTCTCAATTTCCAGCAAATAAATCTGTTTCTAATGTATCTTCCAAAGATGATGCATCCATATGGCATCATAGATTAGGACATGTTTCTCATTCAATTTTAAAATAGATGTCAATAAAATTTCCTTGTATTTCTTGTAAAGATATCTCACCTTGTGATATATGTCATCTTGCTAAGCAACATAATCTGCCTTATCCACATAGCATCAATGAAACCAAATCCACTTTTCAACTCTTACATGTTGATTTGTGGGGACCATATTCCCTGCCATCCATACATGGACATAAATATTTTTTAACAATTGTGGATGACTTCTCAAGATACACCTGGACTCTTCTCCTTAAAAACAAATTTGAAACTAGAAATAAACTCAAAGAGTTCATCATATTTGCTGAAAACCAATTTAACACAAATGTCAAATCCATTAGAAGTGATAATGGTCCTGAATTTGATATGACAGATTTCTATCACACTAAAGGCATTTTGCATCAAAAGAGTTGTGTTGAAAATCCTCAACAAAATGGCTTAGTTGAAAGAAAACATCAACACATTTTGAATGTTGCTAGAGCTCTTATTTTTCAATCCAAAGTTCCACTTCTCTTTTGGTCTTTTGCCATTACACACGTTGTTCATATCATTAACAGGTTGTCCTCTCCTTTGCTTCACCATGATACACCATACCAGAAATTACATGGAGAACCTCCCTCATTTCTACATCTCAAAGTCTTTGGCTGTTTAAGCTATGCAACAACTCTCAAAGCTTATCGCCTAAAATTCTCTCCTCGAGCCACCAAGGCTGTTTTCCTTGGATATCAGCAAGGAACAAAAGGTTATATTTTACTTGACATCAATAATCAAAAACTTTTTATATCCAGAAATGTTAATTTCTTTGAAAATCATTTTCCTTTTAAAACTCATAGCATTTCACATGACACTTCACAGCCTACCATTCATGATTTCCAGAATCTAGATTATTCTGACCCTATCCCTTCCTCTCCCTTTATCCAAACTATCCAAGATCACAATCTAGTCAATAATCCTGAAAATCCAATAGTCACACAGCAACCAAATGAGGCTGTCCATACACGACCACAAAGAAACAGATCACAACCATCTTACCTGCATGATTATCACTGTAATCTGTCAACTACAACTCTTGACCAATCTTCACGTTCAGGTAATGCAACTTCATCCACCCATATTGCTTATCCCTTATCTGATGTACTTCAATATGATACCTGTTCTCCCAAATACAAAAGCTTTTGTCTTAGTGTCACAACACAGGTTGAACCTAACACTTACACACAAGCTTCCAAACACGAATGCTGGCGGAAAGCAATGCTAAATGAAATAGCTGCTCTTGAACATAATCACACTTGGTCTCTTATTGAATTGCCCCCTGGAAAACGGACGATTGGTTGCAAGTGGGTGTATAAAATTAAATACCATGCAGATGGCAGCATAGAACGACATAAGGCTAGATTGGTAGCCAAGGGATACACCCAAACAGAGGGACTTGATTACCTAGATACTTTTAGTCCTGTTGCTAAGCTTACAACAGTCCGATTGCTTCTCTCAATTGCTGCAGCCATGGAATGGAACCTGGAACAATTGGATGTGAATAACGCCTTCCTTCATGGCGATTTAAATGAGGAAGTATACATGGATCTTCCCCCAGGTATTCACTGCTCTGATTCAAATAAAATTTGTAAATTGGAAAAATCTTTATATGGGCTTAAGCAAGCTAGCAGACAATGGTACTCCAAGCTCTCCACAGCTTTAATTTCAATTGGATATGTCCAATCCTCTGCTGATTTCTCCCTGTTCACTCGTCAACATGAGTCACATTTCACAGCTCTCCTTGTGTATGTCGACGACATTGTCTTGACTGGTAACAAGTTGCGGACACCTTCACCAAGGCTCTGCATCCTTCAGCTTTCAATCATCTATTGGAGAAACTTGGCCTACTAGACATTCACAGTCCAGCTTGTGGGGGGGTGTTACAGATCAATAATGAAGCTATGCAAAGTTCCACACGTGTCATTACTTCACCCGTTTACTGATTAAGTCAGTTAGTTAGTTTACATAAAAGTCTGTTAGTTAGTTACAAGCTAGTGATATACATCTGTTGGTTAGTTACAAGCTACTGATATAAGTAGCTGTCATGTTGCCTTTAATTGTACTTTTGATATATTCATTCTTCCAATTTAATGAGATTGATTCTCTTCTTCATTCCTTCTCTTCCCTGCGATATGGATCTTTTCAGATCAAGATTACCATTGTAAGAATATATATTTATAATTTAATCTAATTTTTATTTTTTTCAATGTTTATGTTTTGAGGTAAATAGTTTTGGGCCCCAGATAAATCCTAACCTAACCCACTTATTCAAGGGGCTTTGTGGGTTAGGGGGAAAAAGCCGTTGTTTGGTGAGTTAAAGCCATTTATGGGCCTTGAGACCTGGTCCACATAAGTAGGGCTATTTTTTTATTTTTTTTGAACAACTAGATTAATATTTTTAATGATAAAGGGTGAAACACGGTGAAAAATTGTGGACCAATCACGTGCGTGACAAATCATGTACATAGACACTTTTGTAGAAAATCTTTATGTGACACAGTAATACTCTCTCAATAACATTCTTAATTGTACAAGAAATACTGCAATTTCAATAGTTGTTAAAAGATATACATATAGAAAATGAATAGTTAACACATTTTTTTAGTTTTTGGTTTTTGAGTCAGACAATAATAGAAAGGATTTAAAACTCATATTTAGATGTGGCAATATGGATTGAATCCAACGAGTCAACTCGTCAAAACGAAACGAATTGGGTTATACATTTCAACCCATTAACCCGCCTCAACCCGGCTCGCTTAGTTGTGAGTCAAAACGGGTTGGTGGCGGGTCAGGGCGGATTGGCCTGGGAGCCATTTTTTATTAGGTAGTATTTTATTAGTCACTTAGTTTTTGTGATATAATTTTTTTATTATTTTAGTACTCTCCTAGAAAAAATAAAGAAGAAAAATTTTATTTATAACAAAGGTTATTCATATATGGAGGCAAAATAAGTTCCTAAAATATATCTGACTGAATATTAACTTATATTTACGCTTGAGATTGAAAAAAATTAAGGGAAATGCGAAATAAAAATAAGTAATATTATAAAATTAATAAAATATAATTTATTATTATTATTTAATTATTTTTTGTTTTTTAGGAGGATTGAACCAAATCCGTCAACCCACTTCAAAACAGGGCGGGTTGATATTTGCAACCCACCATCAAATGGCAGGTCAACCCGCCCGGTCCCGTTTTTGGTGGGTTGACCCGTTTTGCCACCTCTACTCATATTGTTTAATACACATTTTGAAGATGCATTAGCCCTCACGCCTCTTTCCTCTCTCTCTCTCTTTTTTTAGATATTCGAATCGATTCATCGCTTTGCAACTAATTCGATTCGGAGCGGGTTCCAAGATTAAGGCTTTAAACTCTCTCAAAGATAATAACGAGAAGATCGAATACATACTCTCGCTTCCAGCTACTTAGTTCTCTAGTGCTAAATGAGCCACCACCATTTGATACTCTTTTCCTATCTTGCCACTGAATTTTTTTTTGTTACATTAAAAGCCGAAATCAAGCTCCGGGCCTCCAGCCCAATTCTTCATCTAATCAAGCTTCTGCTTGGGCCTGTTGGGCCACTTGCATTTTTTTCACTCCTTCTAGAGCAAGGTACAGAAGAGAGTGCGAGAAAGTAGAAAACACAAAATAAATAAATAAAGGCAGTGTGAACTAAAAAATGAAGAAAATGAAGGCAGTGTAAACTGAAATATTTTAGGTTTGAATTTCCAGTTTAAAAGCTTTTGCATTTTGGTATAGTGATGAGTGTTGAAACTTGAGAGTTGAGAGTGGTGAATAAGAAAAATGATGTTGATTCGCTCAAGATGCAAACTTTTTGATATTTTTCGTGTTGGGTCTCTTCCACTGTACTCCACGGAAGCTGTGGTTTCTTCTCCCCCAGCACTTGAAAAACGCATTTTGGAGAGTGGGAACCCCAAGATTTCAATGGTTCCTATTCTGAACCAATGGGTTGAAGAAGGCAAAGACGTCACCCAACCTCAGCTCCAACGTATCATCACACAACTCTCTAATTTTCGTCGCTTCACGCATGCCCTTCAGGTGGTTTTCTCTATAACCTACATATTTGAACTTCAAGTTCCAATCTTTACCTTTTTTTCTTTTTCTTTTTTTGAGGATATAGAGTAAAATGTAGATCATTTTTTATTTTATTTTTTCACATATAAAAATAGACATATTTTATATAATATATATTGTCATACCCGTATCTTGATTTTTAAAAAAACTATAGTATTTGCATATTGTATCCGTGTCTGTGCAGCATAGATGTTCATTTTGTGGTGACATGAAACTAAGTAGATTATGTGCAAATAACCGTCTTAATATACTTGGATTGTTGTTCTGCTTTATTTGTTTCGACTACATTTATGCTAGTAGAAAAACAAGCTGTATTGAAATTGTATTCCAAGTTGCTTGGATCCTTGTTAGTTATTTAGTTTATAGTATTATGCTTGAACCCTTATGAACAAGAGTTTAGAAAACACTCCTTTTGTTTAGGTATCAGAATGGATGAGCAATGAAAGGAACTATAACTTAACTCCAGGAGACATTGCTAAACGGCTCAACCTGATATCAAAAGTTCATGGCCTAGAACAAGCAGAGAGCTTTTTTAGAGGCATACCCGACACTGAAATTGGGTTCAAGGTCTATGCTGCTCTTTTGAGTTGCTATGCAGAACATAAATCTTTGGAGGAAGCGGAAGCTATCATGGAGAAAATTAAGAAGTTGGATTTATTGCACTTAACAACGTGTTACAACATGATGTTAAAACTTTATGCTCAGATAGGTAAATATGAGAAATTGGATAGGTTGATGCAAGAAATGAAAGAGAAGGACATCTGCAATGGTGCTACGTTTACTATTCGGTTGAATGCTTATGTGGCCGGTAGAGACATAAAGGGGATGGAGAAGTTACTAATGCAGATGGAAGCCGATCCCATGGCAACTGTGGACTGGTGTACATACACTACTGCAGCAAACGGCTATCTGAAAATTGGGGATTTTGAGAAGGCCTTGGTAACATTGAAGAAATCAGAGCAGTTAGTTAGAGGCAAGACGATGAGGCTTGCCTATGAATCTATTCAATCTATGTATGCTGCTATTGGGAATAAGGAGGAGGTTTATCGACTTTGGGATAAGATCAAAAGTTTTAATTATTCCCACAACTCAAGTTACATAAGTATGTTAAGCTCATTAGTGAAGCTGGATGACATTGATGGGGCAGAGAAGATTTTGGAAGAATGGGAATCTGAACATATACATTTTGACGCCAGAATTCCAAATTTGATGATCACTGCATATTGTAAACGGGGTCTGTTGGATAAGGCTGAGGCCTATATCAGGAGGCTTTTGGATAGTGGCAAGGAATTAGATGGAACTACATGGGACCGTTTGGCGGGTGGCTATCTCATGGATAATGATATGGAAAAAGCAGTTCAAACAATGAAGAAAGCAATCTTGGTAAATGGACAACCACGATGGTGGCCTAACCCCTTCACTTTGGTTGCATGTATCAAGTACCTGAAAGAAAAAGGAGATTTGGAATTAGCCCTTGAGATTCTTAAGTTATGTAGAGAAGATGGTCATATCTCAGTCACTACCTATGATAAACTAGTAAGTTATGTTCATAATGAAATTCCAGTTACTGAAGCCCTTGATCTGATTAAAGGAGATTTTAAACTGGATGAAGACGCTCAACTTCTTGTTGGAGAAAACTGATGGTTGAATGTAAAAGATGGGCAGAACTGAATTACTCTTGTAAAGGATGTGTTCAGTTGTTTCCAAGAAAGAGTAAATTATTTAGCCATAGGTATTACTCTTAATCCTCCTATTGTTTTTAAGTATTAGAGACTTAGTTGTTGCAACTTTCATCTTTATGTCCCAGAGAATAAATCTACGTCCCAATTTATTCACTGTTATGTCATTTTTGTTACCATTTAAAGAATTTAGATTATATATCCTGTGGAAAAACAAACGCCATAATTATGCTTGATTGGGGGATTATAGTTGTTAGCTTGTAGTCATCATTAATCTATGTATGCCAGCCAAGACCAACTCTCTATTTCTAGTAATTTATCTGCATAATCCCTTTGTACCCTTTCGTGGCAGAAAATACATGGGATTATTTGGCAACTGGAACTGGCTGTTGCATAAAGAATAGTAAGGAAAAAGATTTGGAAGCGGTGAATGATGCAATTTTGGCTGATCAACCAGATGGACCAAGATGAAAAGCATGTTAACTATGCTCACATGTTGAAGATAATCTAGAGCACTAAACAAGATGAGAACTCTACTATTAACTTATTTAGAAACTCATTCCTTGAAATTCTATTGATACAATAACTCTTCAATCTATATAAGCTGTATACACGTACTTGAGAGTTGAGACCAATCTTATTAGAACCGGACCGGTCATTGACCCGGTCGAGGTACCGGGTCACTGGGTCAATGGTTCAACCGGTGGGTCACTGATTGAACCGCATGAACCGGATCTAAATAATAACCTGGTGTAGTTTAGTGGTATTTGCTATGTTGCACAACCTCAATGGAAGGGGTTCAAACCCCATTAGATGTGATTTTTGAAATAATTCTCTTAACTTAATAGTTATATAATAAATATATTAAATGGTGGTATGAGAAGGTGTTCCTCACACCAATGAGCAGGGTTCGAATCCCACCTGCTGCAAAAAAATATTTTAGAACCAATTTTAAAAAACCGGTTGAACGGTTGAGACCTTTTTCTCTTTCTTTCAATAATTTATTGGTTTAAATATAATTTTGATTCTTATAATGTTTACTTATTTTTGGTTCGGTGGTTCCAACAAATTCTCAACTCTGAATTAGAGCAAGGAGTTCAACCAATAGTATATAAGGGACACTTATTGATTAGTATATCCTTATTTTAACTAAAGATTCGTTTTTTATGCAGTTATTACAGATAAGTTATCTGCAGTAAGTTCAATACGACGTCGTTTTGGGCGGAAATCATAGTATTTTTGTAATTTTAATTTATTTCAGGGTTATAATAGTCTTATATTTATAATTTTTTAAGATTTCAATACCAAAACGACGTCGTTTTGGGAATAAATGTAGATAACTTATCTGCATTAACTGCAGAAACATTTTTCCCTTTAACTAATGCATGTGAATTGTGGAGAAAAAAATGTTTGTGAGAATTTGAAATGTAAATCTAATAATGTCATAATAGGATACTCTATTTTGCGTATGGTAAAGTAAACGACTCCTTTTTGAGTGAAAGATAATATATTTGAATTTGAAAAAACCCTCTTTATAAATAAATAGAGCTTTAAATAGTTATGATAGGAGATAATGTTTACTTTATGTTGTAGAGAGAAAATGAATGAGTTCCACCATTACAAGAAAAGAAAAGAAAAAAAGGTGAGGTGTGAAAATGAAAGGAGAGTAATATTTCTTAAATAAATATAGGCAAAATTAATTCTAGCAAGTTACTCATCTCCTATCTCTCAGTTCGTAAAATGTGTCCAACAAAAAACTGGTGGGCCCAGTTTGCTTTTCTCAAACGTTGCTAATCTTGAGAAATACAAAGCCCGTAAATATATAAGGCTAAAGTTACAAAAGAGAATTGCTCTTACCATCACCTCACTCTCGCTAATCGAAGTAGGGAAAGTTTTATTCTTTAATTTTGATTGAATTCTGGCTATCCAATTCATCCAGTTTCATAATCAGATCTCGGATTTAAAAGTAGGGACAAAGATGTAGCAATTGTTTTCTAAAATTTAGCAAATATTAGCACATGCCCATATTCCACCATACAAATTGTGTTACGCAACTTAGAAACGAAAAGTTTGAAAAGGATATTGCAACAAACGGTAACTCATATAGGCACCCTTTAACAAAAGTCACCTATATCTCCCTCTGCGTTCTACAACTTTCCAGAATAGAGTTTACGTGAAAAATCTAGCTCGCTCCAATTTCAGCCTTTCATTTGAGTTGGAAGGGAATACATTTTTGACTCTTTTCTGTTACAAGTTACTCTTCAACCACTTTAATAATTAGGCGAAGACGTCACTTCCAAAATAAAAAAAATCATCAACCCACTCACAAAAGTCATAACAATAGTCTTAAGTTCAAAAAATAAATTACAACAAAATAAAGTTTTTATCTCATTATAAATATTTTTTCGATATTTTATATACATTTTTAATTTAACCCTTGCATCACGGGTCATCATTCTTGAATAAGACATCCTATCCTGCTAGATATATAAAATTTCCTCTTCTGCTATGCATCATTTCAGGACATATAGATCACAATAAATAAATAAATAAAGTTTAGAAATATAAGACACTTTTACAAGGCAAACATGAAATACAATTACAAAACCAAATGATTGTAACTCAATTAGCGCATACGAACTGAACAGATGGGATAAGAGTATGTATCCGATCCTTTCCAGTACCATCTTTGAGAAAAGCTTAAAGTCTTAATCTTGAACCCACTCTAAACTCTGAATTAGTCAATAGAAAACTTATGGAATTACCAGGAGAATAATCTCAACAACAACAAAAAACATCTGCAAAGTTATGCAAATATCTATCTCATGTTACTTCAGGAAATATAAGAGAGTTTAGTTTATAGCAAAGCTGAAAGCCAAAAATTTAAAACCAATGCAAACTTATTCAAACATCTATTTCATTTAACTACTCTAAAATACATGAGATAGTTAATAATACTAATTACACATATCTCAGCACTGAATCAAGTTCTCTAAAATGTATGATACATCAGGTTGAACCAGGGTACTGCGTGTATTCTATACAGGGATGTATGCACAAAAAACATGGAATAACAATCAGAATAAGAGAAGACACAGAACTGTACAACAAAGGAGGAAAAAACTGATTCTACCGAGTGACTTATCAGCTTGCATTAAGTGCCTTCTGATCCTTGGATTATTGATCCCGGAAAGATCATATGAATTCGGGTGTGTGTATATGTTTGTCACCTGGTTTCCAAAGACTCTTGCATATATCATCTCACCAAAGACTCCATATGTTGTATCAAATGCGTTTGTTAATGAACCACCTGTGTTAAGCATTGGTGAAGTGTTACTGCCTGGAATTGAGTTGAATTGTTGAGGACGGTTAGGATAATGGGGATGATAAACTTGAGAAGTGGGTTGGGAAACATTTGCAGTATCAAATGATCTTGGTGAGTGAGCCACCCATGAAGGACCAAGGGGTCTTCTTGGTATGACAATCCCTACTTGGCGAGCCTTGCCTTTAGAAGGTAATGTGGTTTGGCCACGGCCATATAGTGGAACAAGGGATGACTGTGAAATTTCTGATTTGCATACTGGACATTGTTGCTTCTCTTTCTCTTCATTTTCAGAAAAGACACTATGGGAATTAAGCCATTTGTATATGCAGGGCCAGCAATAAAGATGACCACAAAGAGTTACCACTGGATCTTGCACACACTCCAGGCAGATGTTGCAGTCAAAGTCACTAGAGGCATTTCTATCAAAATCTGCAATATCATCTTCACTGGCACATTTCCACATTTCCAGAGATGATTTTTCTTCGAAGGAATCTATTTGGGGCACAGCACCCTCAAAATATTGATCTAAGGCCATTTTCCTTTTGCCTTACAATGTTTTCTCTGACTGGTGCCTCAATCTGAAAAGCAAAAGCACAAAGGTAAGAATTATAAATGTCTGCTAACAGATAGTTCATCTTCCATATATGAAGTTTCGTTAATATAATAAAATGTAAAAGGTTCAAAAATAAGTCTAAAAATTAACAAGGAAAAAAGTCCCTTGAAACTGCAAGGTTAAATAAATATAAAATTGCATTCAGATCAAGAAATTCATGTTTTACTATAAAACTTCATACAACACATCTAGATAATCGGTGTGAATTTTGATTTAGCATCTCTATCCCTCACTAATCCTGTTGAGGGACACTATAACCTCTCCAGCAATTCTCTTAAAGTGATTAAGAAAGCACACCCAGTTTTGGTAGGTGAAATGTACCTAAACATTAGCATTCAGCTAGCCTAACCAAATTTCTAGTTGTTGAAACACAAAGATTATGTTCTTCACCTATTTAATGTCTGAGATATACACAAAAATTTCACATGCAAGCTATGTGGAATGTTATTTTATTTTATTTTTGGGATACATTCCTCTACCAGTCTTTTCATCTCTCAAGGAGAAGTCCACCTAACAAAAATATATAATTGCTTCATGACAGTTACAAATAACCACACAGTTGTAAAAATGGTTTCCGAGTAGACTAAAGGGTCTGAAATCACCTACTGTCATTAATTGCACGAACAAGAAAACAAAAAACAAAAACTAAAAAAGAGGACTATTGCAGAATTTAAATGTTATTTAGCTGGTCGGATTCATCTTTATCTGACTGGGAGAACCCATGATTCACCTAACATTTAACTAAATCACAAAACTATTTTCAAGGAGGAAGCTAACAAAAGAAACAGCCAATAACTAATGGATTTAAAGTTTCCAAAGTTACTTTAGATAATTTTATATAATGTTCACCAAAATATATGCATAAAAATATGTGAAGCTCATATTTTTTTTCTCTCTCTTCTCTTCACATGTGGACATGGATCCACATGAACCCCACACACACTTTTTTATATATATTTTGGTGAACGATAAAGTTATTAACTTTAAAAACTTTAAACCCATAATTAAATTACACTATCATTCCTACATGGGAGAAAATTATGAGGGGAAGAGAAGAGGTTCTTCCAATTGAGACCAGTAAGTCTAAGTTCATGCCAATTCCCTACGCAGAAGGCAACTTGTAATGTCAGAGAAACTCATATGAACAAGTTCAATTTCTAATATATAAACCATTGACTAAATCAATTTTGGGGAATTTTTTATGAATCCCAACAGCAATTACATTTCCCACTCTATATCACGGGAGAGAAAACAAGATGAATCTTCAAGAAGATTGAATCCCAAAGTGCAATCCACTGAAACTATTTAAGCAGCAAACCAAATTTACTGAGTTGAGAAAATCAAATATCATGAGAGGGGGAAAACAAAGGTTGCCATAATATAATATATTGGGCCTAAAAAGAAGTGAACAATAGCAGAAACATTCAAGGTAGAAAAGAAGGATCTAAAATTCTATGAACATGTCAGAAGATAAATTGAAAATAAATAAAATAAATCAAAGTTTCAGAAAAGAAAAAAAAGAAAAAAGAAAAGAAAAGGAAAGTGAATACTTGGTTTCAACTTTCAACATAAATTTCTGAAAACCTACTCAAATGAAACAAAGACTTTTTGTTGAGATGTGTCCTCAAGCAAACCATGATGAAACATAATAGGCAAAAGGTATCGCCATGTATTGGAAACTATAAAAAAAAAATCCTGATCCCAAAGCAAAGGATCGTTTGTTTGGTGGCAGAAAGTATAGAATCGAATAAAAGACAAAGCTTTCCCTGATAATAACCGGAAAAAAAAAAAAAAAAAAAAAACTTTTTTGATTGAAAATTTCAACACCCATATGAAGCTAAGAGCCTAAGCAAACAAATAAACAGAATACAATTCAATTGATCGCATTGCCCTCATGAAAGTGCCACTGAACAAGAGAGAGAGAGAGAGAGAGAAGCATTTATTTCAATACTTACAGATAAGATAAGGAGGGAAGCGAAAGAGTTTGTGTGTTGTTCAGGGTCACAGGGTGTTAACCTTAGAAGAAGGTGAAAAGGAGAAAATAGGGCGAGAAGGAAAAGAATGGTAGCATTAATTTATAGGAGTAAGAAAGTAAGAGAAAATTCAACGGTTGGTTCTATCAAGCTTCCACCACTGCTGAGTGGTACGGATAATAAATAACCTTTTAATACGTGGCGCCACACATCATCAGAAAAATATCTTCATTATTACTGATATACCAATCATTCCATACGTTTTTTATCTATCATATATATATAAAAAAAAATTAGGGAATATATCTACTTCAAACTAGGGGTGAAACTGGGCGGGCAAGTCCACAGGAGCCTACGTCAGGTCAGACCTGACTTATTATATTTCATAAAATACATCGAACTTGGGTTTTGAAAAAGCTTATTTACTAAAAAGGCCGTAGGTCCACTTTCACAAGATCTGGTTTATAAGCCTACAGGACGGCCTATATATTGTACTATTTATTTTAAATAAAATACAATAGAATAAGTATGGCTTGAAAAAAAAAACAAAAGATATAAATTTAATAAATTGTAATTATTTATAACTTAATTATATTCGATTATATTTTAATAGAAATCTAACTTTATTTCTTATATAAGAGGAACCAACATATCAACATGTTAAATTGCGTATATGAATATATTAAAAGGTTTTTGAGAGAGATTATACTTACTACAAAAATCATGATGTGTTGTGGATTCATGTAATTATTTTAATTTGCGTAGTATGGATTTGTTTGTTGGATCTGATGAAATATTTGTTATTTAGTTTGAGAATTTTGCTTTTGAAAATGACTTAAATGCAGATTGTATGAATTTTGTTGTGATTCATGATTCTGTTTAGACGTTGAAATTATGATTTTTGGTTTAGTAACAGAATTTGAGTATTTTGTAAAGTTGATTCATGGTTCTGTTTGGAAGTTAAAAATTAACAGACTAATGGGCTAGGTCAGGCTATTTGTTTTTTTATAAACGGGCTAAGTCAGGCTAACAGTTAGACTCGTAATAGGCTTGGGTCAGGCCAAATTGAAATTTTTTTGACGTAGGCTTGGGCTTTTCGGGGCAAAGTTTGGCCCAGCCCAGCCCACTCTCACTCCTACTTCAAACAGAAGGAAATATAAGTTATATGCAATAATCACATGCTTTTCAGGATAGTGAATCGTATTTTGAGAAACATATATCAACTACCAAATCGTATTATGAAAAACATGTATTAGTGGAAGATAACTTACATCCAACAACAATAAATTAATAGAACCCATAAAAAGAAATAATCTTTCATTTTAAAATGATTAGTCTTTGATTATCCGCCGTAGTATATCTTAAAAAATAAAAAACATATTTATATTTTTCTTGGGTTATTTTTTTCCTTTTTAATAAAAATATATCTACTGCTCCTGCTATACCTAATATTTGTTCCACGAGCCTACAAGATCCTAACCTCGCCTTATTTTATTTTTTAAAATATAAAGGAGAATTAAATATATAACTTCTTGTTTCTTTAACAAATGCCCTTATTATGGACACCCCAATATATATATAGAAGGAGATTTCTCTTATCGCTAAATCTTAAGTCTTATGATAATACTTATTATCAGGGTTGATTTCATCTTGATTGAAATAATTAATAAATTAGAATGGTTAAATAAAATGAGATTAGAAAGTTGGGGAAATTTATGTTTCAAAAGAGAAATAAAATTTCTAAAACATGGTGTATTTTTGTTTTTAAAATCCTAAATCTATATTATTTGGAAATAACTTTATTTCTTACTATAGCGATAAATAATTTCCCTGTAATCAAAATATCACTATTTTTTTATACATAAATATCACTATTTTTAAAGGGAAAAACTATGCTTATGCTACATGAAATAAGTTTTTTCTTTTTCACACCCTTCGATAACTGTGCCTCATCTTTTTTTTATTTTTTAGATGGTGGAGCCCAAAAGTTTATCTATATGACATGAGATAACTTATCTCCTTTAACATGAGATTAATAAAATCTATTTTTAAATTATCATCATTTAGGATAATCCACAAAATAATTTAAGAGCAAAGCACTCTATTCTTTTCAAATCATTGAACTGTCTAAAAATTCGAATATTGTTCTTTGGATTTTTATTTTTTAATATAATTGAATAAAAAGTTATTTTACTTTTTAACTTTACTTTTGGAAATTTTTCTAGTCGATTAACTAGGTCAAATCGGGAGGATTATAAAGGTGAGAAATATTTTCCTATCAAATTTTTAAAATAGCTGCATACTTTTTAAATAATTAAAAATAATTCTATGTAAAGAATAAATTCAATCCAAAAACTTAGTTGTTAGATGAAGGCCTTTTAAATGACTTATATTATATTCTTTAACACATTCTCTCACACAAAAGTCATTTAAGTTTGAAGCCTGGATCACAGGTATAATTTTTTGTTTACCTTGTGCTTATATAATTCCACTTAATTCCACCATAAAGTGAGAGACATTAAGGATCGAACTCGTGATCTTGTAGTTACTGCAGCTCTGATACCATATAAAGAATTAATTAAACTCAAAAACTTAAGTATAAAAGAGTTAAAAGTTAAACAGTACTATACATGCATTTTCTTTTAACAATATAAAATAAAAAAACAATTGAGAGTCACGTTTGACTTGCCTCTCAACCATAGTTATCAATATCGCATGATTCGTACGATATGATATGATTCGCAAGCGTAGCGATACAAATTGTGAAGTATATTGAAATGAGGTTTGTATCGAACGATATTATACTATATCATACGATATGTATCGTGTATCATATGATATGAAAATTAAATCAAAATTTATAAATTTAAATATAAAAAAAGAAATAAAAATTTTGATTTAAGATTAAATTAAAAAAATCTAAAAAAATATTATTAATAAGAAAAAGAAAATAAAGATTTGATTTATGATTTAAACTCAAAAATCAATCTAAAAAATCTCTTTTAATAAAGAAAATAATTAAATATATTTTTTAATATATATTTTTATTTTATTTTTAATTATATTTCTGAATTTTACTATTTGATACAATTCATAATACACAATACAAAAAATCAGCCAAACAATAACGATAAGTATTACAATTCAACAACGTTGCTCTCAACATAATATGCTAGTTATTATTTAAAAAATTCAAAGATTTGTATACAATATTATCAATGGTTAAAAAATTGCTTGAATATAACAGTAATCACTTTATCACTTTAAAGTGATAACGTGAATAACATAAATTTATAAACAATTGAATAAGAGTTCAATAAATAAACATTATAACATAGAATGAAGATAATATACATGAGAAACTGATATTAAGTGTTAAACATTATACTAACACAAAATCTTATTCATTTGTTTCACTTTCATTCGAATAATGTTGACATTTATTTATGAAGAAGGTTATTACAATTTTTTTTTACTTACAACTTCTTACATGATTTTTCTTATTAGATTAAAATCAAATCAATAAAATGATATCAAGTAAAAACGGTTAATTTGATTAAAGGATGAAGAAAATAATTATAAGAAAAATAAATTGTAAATATAATCTCTTCATTTATTTATTTATTAAAGTAATTACTAGATCCCAATGTTTTTTTTTTTTTTTTTTCATTTATAGACCGACACCTCTCAATTCAGCTAATACGTGTAATGATTGATAGCGTTTATAAAAGCCTCCATCTTGGTACTCAAGTTTGTCTTATTGTACTCAAGTTGTTTCACTTTCACTTGTTCATTATTTAATATCAAAAGTTGTACATTTCATTAAGTTATGTAAGTATGTACGCAACAGATTTTCTATTTTGGCCATGTGTAGCAATAGATCTATCATCATTGATTTCTAGTCGTAATTATCTTTCTACCACATTCAGTGTATCATCTATCAATTGTGATAAATCTGTCATTCATAGAGTTTTATAATCTTTAGGATAAGTTATCAATTTATCATATTCGGGAACATGAAATTGTATCAGAGGTCTCTTCATTTTTTAAGCGAGATGTATAACCCTCTTATATCATTTATAGTAAATCCTATCACAGATCCCTGTGAACGCTTCTCAATGTATTAGTTCCATTGCATATTTTTTTGTTTATTTAATTAGAACAACTAAAGGTCTCATAAAAAATCATATGCATCCAACGAACACCTTGAGTGCAGTAGTGGTCGAGTTTTTAGTGTCATTTTCCTCATAATAAAAATTAGTGAACGTAAAATAAAATATTTAACATTTAAAAATTTTAAAAATATTTTTTGAATAATTAAATTGATTTAAGGATAATGATTAACTATATTATTATTATCAACTTTAAAAAAATTAATCAATCGCATTGTTATTTGTTACTATCATAAAATGTAAAAAATATTGTATTTAAAATTAATGGTTTTTCTCTTCTTATTTCTTTAATTTGATTTTTTTTTTGTTTTGGTTGAATGTTTTACTCTTAAATTTCATATGATGCAAATTATGAAGTTTATATTTAATTATCATTTAATAGCTAGTAATTTTTTTTTTACTTTTTTGCAAATGAAAGTATAAGTATTACATTATAATGAAAGATATTAAAAAGATTGGCGAAACTATTTATTATAATTCATTTCGAGATTTAATTTTTCGATTGACAAATTTTAATGTTCATAATAACTTCAATGACATAAAAATTTTCCATTTGTAATCTACACACAATTTGACTTGCATTTTGTGTCACCCTTTTGAATAAGTTTTAAGATTGATTTAGCTGGCCAATTTTATTTTTATTTTTTTTTCTGGAAGTTCACATGCTGGAATACCGTAGCTATGCAACAACTAGCGGGGTCAACATCTGAAATGCAATGCAGGCAAGAATTGGCAGAACCTATTTTTGTTTTGATTTATAAATCACTAAAAAGTCCTAATTTATCAACTTAAATTTTTGGATTGAATTGATACTCTACATGATAATAGAGCCTCGTGTCCCAGGCAGTGGCATTGGTGCCAGCAGGTACATTAGCACTGACTAATTTAGCCACG